TTTGATTTTTTTGCACCCTCAGATTCCAGATTTTCAAATAGTTGTATTTCGTCCAAATATTGTTCGATCATAACAAACCATACATCAATGGAAAGCTTATGTATTCAGATGGTGCACAAATCTCAATTTCTAAAAATTGACCCTTATGACTGGTTATGTGGTCCTGGGTCACATATAGTAGGTATTGTATTAACAAAAAACCTTTCTAATGTGACTACGTAATGCGTGAAGTCCAGCTAGTGCAAGATGAGAATTTGTAGTTATAAAAAGTATATACATTTTTTTATTTTTTTAGAAAATGAGCGATGGTTTCTATAGATAAGACTCTTATTCCTCGGCTGGGATCCTGTAGAGCTCTTTGAAGCTGAGATTTGGACCTTCAGCCCGTTGGTCCCCATTGAAGTCCATTATACGGAGAAAAATCCAGTAATGTTTTCCTCAAAAACCTACTGAAGACAGAAAGCCTCCACACTTGAGTGAAAGTTCAGCATCACCTACCCAAGATCCCTTCACCTCCGTATGAATGTTATTAAACTCCAGAGTGTCTCCCATCTCTGTAAATAAACACAAGCCATAAAATAACATCGCATTATCAGCAGACGAGTTTCAATCATTTATATTAGGCTTTTTCTCGCTCTGAAGACTTTAAATCACTTCTATATCACACTCGTCTCCAGGGTTGCCAGGTCTGCGGTTTTCCCGCGGAATTGGGCTACTTCAACACTGTCACCGCGGGTTGAAGCGACCCCAATAACGTGATATTTAGCCCCTGGAATGGGAACCCCGCCAGAAAACGTGTATTTTACCCGCCCCCGAGCCTGAGTTGTACCGGTGGAACCCCATCCTAGTTTTGAGTAGCAATTTGGGCGGGATTTGTTGTGAACACCTGGCAACCCTGCTCACATCTGTATGTTATTACAGCAGAACAGCGGCTGTGAGCTTCCTAACTCACACAGACAGCATTTAATTCATCATGGGCTGTAAATATCACATTATAGAGTATTTTAGGGCTCGAAAAGCTAAGTAGAGACACCGCCGCTGTTCGTAACATGTGGAGCGGACGCGATTCTTCAACCGGCTTCATTTCACTTCAGCAGTAAACAATACAAACTTCTTCTGCACTTACTTACTTACTGGGTAAAGAAGGACTTTATAAATGTATAATTGTGTTTCCCGGTGGTGGAGATATTTGATGTAAACACACACCGATGACTGCAGCAATCAAGCTCTTCTATTCTCCGGTTTCCCGCGTCAAACCTCCGGGTTCTGACTACAGTGAACCGGAAGGAGTGTTGAAGGGTCACGCGTTTCCATGACACCGCACTCAAGTTTTCCTTTAGTGTCTGCGTTTCGATTAAAATATATATATATATTTTTTTTTATTATTATTAATTTATTTAGAAACACCAAAAAAAACAAACTAAAAAAAGAGTAAACAAATTTAAAAATATGTTTTTGACTAGAACTGACAGATCGTTTTCATTTGCTTTAATTACTATTGCAGCAATCTATATTCCTTTAACTGAAAAAGCATTAAATTACTATGTTTATTTCATATATACAGTTATGTAAACGATAAAGAGAGCCTGTTATATTATGAATATATTACAACCATATTATTAAATATAACGAAATAAAATCATTTTAACTAAAATATCTTAAAACATGTTTAAAATATTAAAATGTTATTCTTAATATTAATGTAATGATATATCAAATAATAAAAAAACTGAATATGAAAATAAAGTCTGTATTTATTGTCCCTCATGTACATGTGCCGAGCAATTATCTACAGTTTTCACTCTGTTGTTTTGTTTTTGTTGCTATGTTGTACTGTTTTCTGTGTGAAACGCATGTTGAAACCCACTGAAATATAAATAAAGTTACTACTATTGCATACTGTCTTTAACATTTTGCTACTACTGTGTTAATTTTTAGTTCATTTCTAAATGCTGAATAGTTCTGGTTTTCTGTGATTTTTTTTTTACATTGTCCTTCAATGTGTGTGTGTTTGTGTGAGAGAGAGTGAGTGTATGTGTATGTGTATGTGAGTGTGTGTGTGTGTGTGTGAGTGTGTGTGTGTGTG